AATTTGGGGTTAAGTGTCTTGCCCAAGGACACATCGGACATGTTGCTTCAGGAGCTGGGGATCGAACCCTCGACCTTCTGATTGTGAAACGACGACTCTATAATAACCACACAGATGGAAAACTTCTAGAATATTTTATAACAGGCTGCTCCTGAAATCTTACTGAGTTCACACATGCACCCCCACATGAGGGGGGTGGGAGGAAGATCATGATGTAAAGAACAAAATGCAAAGCAACAAGGTCCAGAGCAATATCAAGTCTATGTGTTGTAAAAAAAACAAAAAAAAAACACATCTCCGCCTTCAAATATTTCCCGTTGAATTTATTCTCCATATTTAACAACAGGGCTGGTAGGAAAGATTCCATGTAATCATGGAAACAATTATCCTGTTTTCATTCACACATGCAGCTCATCTTTTCTCATACATGCTTTAAAACAACATCATGGAGGAGTTCAGTTTGCTGTGCTTTGGCGCCAACCCAAGGACTCTGAGTGCAACAGTGCTGTGATAAAACACAGCCCTGCTCAGCCCCCCCTTCATGTATTTGATGACAAGCAAGCCTATCGAGGAATGCGCCCTCTAAAATCTTAAATGAAGGTTATAGAGTATCCAAACATGATTCCCGTTTCCTTCCAAGTCCAAATGAAGCGAGTAGTGATGTTTTAAAGTTAAGCCACTGGGAGCATTTGATAGAAGATCCAGATAGCCTCTGCTCTCATTTTGCCATTGACTGTAGATAAACATGGACGGAGTCTCAGTGACGTCACCCGTTGGTAACTTAACGGGGCTTTTGAAGCCTGTTGATGGTTGTCCCCAGGCAGGAAATGCTGCCTCACCCTAACTCTCAGTCAACCTAACGACAGGCTGAGAGCTGAGGTGGGACTTAAAGGCAGAGTTGGTAATTTTGGAAAACTAGTGTAACGTGAGGGTCCGATGTGTTAACTTTCTCAGCAGCACTTTACTGTCATCCACATTGTTCTGCTACACAACAACCACAACACTTCCTTGTTACTCATCACGTCCTGTCGTTAGCCAATCAGAGTTTAGGATGATTAAACTCAAGGCAAACATTATGACAAACACAGAAGTAGATTCAATATAATTTGGTCACAGTTACTAGGTGCTACTGCAAACATTAAAACATGTAACTATATCAATATTAACTTTGTAAACTCAAATATGTAAATAGTTCAGTGTATAAATGTTAACTTGTTTTTAACTTAAACTTAAATACATGAATTAACTCAAATATATGAATTTACTTCACTTTTAAATCTTACACTAGCATGATTTTGAAAGTAGCATTCCCTCAGTGCTCTGTCTGCACCCACCCGCTCCCCTCTGTGCTCCCTCTAAAGCCACGCCCCTCACTTACATGCACAAGTGCCATTGGTCCAGAAGCGGACCTCAGCTCCATTTTCAGAGCACATGAGTTTTTAATGTCTGTCAGGACCTAAAGACAATTTCAACCCAAATCTTAAAAAGTGTATCTGGAGAAAATTACCCACCCTGCCTTTAAGAGTGGGATTGTCTGGCACAACTTCACCAACTACCAAGGTGCATGAAGAGTGAAAAGCTTTAAGAGGTCACTAACTCACGTAGTATGAAGATCAACTTTATTAACAAATAAGAGATTAAACAGCTACAACGCGCCTTCCTGTCTGCCAGGCCCGCCAAGAGCCTTATTTTGTATAACTGTTATCCTTCATAAAATTAAAATGGATTAGTTATACAAAAAGGAAATCACCCCCCATATACTGTGGGCAGATAAAGACATGAGCTATTCAGACCATTTGTGTTTAAATATGCATCTTATTTCTTACTGTAGTCACTTTGGCCGTTGCTGCTGTTTTGCTTGTTGGCCACCTTATGATAGAATTGGAAAAGGGAAAACAGAGAGAGAGAGAGAGAGTGTGCATGAGGGAGAGGAAGAAAGGGAGATTTATAAGTATTTCCCCTTCATCTGTGTCTGTCATCCTATATCTCTGCATACATTCCTGCCTCTCTTTCCCCCATTGTGTAGCATTGAGCCATCTGTGTGTCTGTTCCTGCAACTCTGACACATTTCCTATACTGGTGTGTGTGTGTGTGTGTGTGTGTATGTTTTGTGCGTGCACCCTCGACTCACTTCTTGTTTTTGGTGGAGTAATAAGGAAACTCATAGTCAGGGCTTTTTGAAGAGCTTATTGTTAACCACTACCTCCACACTCCTAATCGGCCAATCCATTTGGAGAAGAATAGCAGGAAGTAGAAAGTGGTTGTGTAAGCGGCTGAAGGCCCGCTGTGTTACTCTAAGAGTTTCAGTAAATGCGGTAACCTTTCTGTGGTACGGTGACATCATGGGCAGGCTGAGTTTTACATCTACTGGAAAAAAAACATCATAAGAATTCTAAACTCCGCAGACATTTACATCTCAAGGTTTCAGACTCTTTTCAATCTTACAAGTTACGATGAGTAAACATACTCAAAACTCCTAAGTGTGAAAACAAACAAGACAATTTTCCTGCCAGGTCCCTGTGAAATGTCTGCGAGATGTCAGAACACAGTAGGAAATATTCAGGGAAAATTCACCCCCAGTGAGCGAGAGGAGGTGTTGACGTTTACATCACGGGACTGGAGCAATCTTTGTGAAACTGCTTCAATGTTCTTTTCCACTCTTTTTTATTCATACCTATTGGTAACCTTTGAGCTATTATAACACACGTGGTAGTATGCCCCACCCTTTTCTTTTTGCAACCTCATATACAATTAAATTAAAAATATCCTAAATATTTTTATAATTATTTTGTACTGATGACAAGTTATATTTTGTATCATTTATAATAAAATAATATTTTACAATAAAAATAATGATCATGCAATGACTTAAGACAACACTAGAACAAAACTAGAGTTCATTTGAGAGAGGAGCATGATACAAATGTTAACTTTTTATTTTAAAAAAACAAAAAAAATGTACTCACAGATGAACTAGTAGGAGGTTGTTCTGATCAGGGTCAACCCCAGGGTCCGATATACCAGCCTGCATAAACAACTTAGATTCTATGCATGATGCATCAATACTTGCTGAAAGGTTGGAAAGTATCATCCTGGACCTAACTGAGACCAGACCAGGTTTTGTGAAGAACAGGGAACAGGTAAACCCAGGATGAAATGATGCGTGCTCTCCACCTCATCGATCATATGAGAAATAGAGATGAAGAATCTGAAGTTTGTCTCGACACTGAAAAGGCCACTGATTGTGTTTGATGTATCTTAAAGATCTAAAGATCTATCTATGATCACAGCTATTCTCCTGAAACAGTTAACATTTAAAATGATTTATGGTCATGTGGTGCCGGTAGCCTAGTGGTAAGTGCAGTCACCCCATGTACGGAGAGTTCTCCAAGCGGGCGGTCCAGCTTCAAACCCAACCTGTGGTTCCTGTCCCGCACATCATTCCCCAATCTCTGTCTCACTGATTTCTCTATGCACTGTCCTATCTCTAAATAAAGGCCCAAAAATACATCTTTAAATCGCTGGTCATTACAATCAACTTCATTTAGATGAATGTTCTCCCCAGGTTGCTCCTTTAGTCCTTTACTTCCAGCATTTAGAAGATTCCCTTTCCCCCCGGTGAGATTCTGTACGTTTGTTTGGGGACTGGTAAAAGTGTTCTCTTAAAAGTGTTTTGCATTTTGTACATTTGTTTTGTCCTTGGTAAAAGTGTTTTCTTTTGTTATTTGGTTTAATAAAATTAAGAAAAAAAAAATTCCTGTGATGTAATTATGTCCCAAGCTTTGTAAAAGTGTTTCACACTTTGCGATTTACTTTTGCACTTCCCAGCCACCGTAGTCCTCTCTACAATCTAATTCAGATGTAGATGGGAGAAAGATGCTAACGTAACGTTTACTGATGAAAACGGTTTCACACACGGAAGACGCAATCCTCCGCCTCAAGCTCTGATTTGTGGAGGGAATTTAGCTGCAAGAACATTTCAAGGTTTTGTATATGTCCTAGAACCAAAGAGTCACAGAGTAACAAGCCTGAGCCTGCTCAGCTGGAGATTATGTGGTATTAAGTCTGTTAGACATTTTCACTCTTTTTGGTAGTATTTTAAGATCTCTTTTTACTGGATGGATGTGACAGCTGCGATAAAACCAATAATCTCCAAAGAGCTGGATTTAACCTTAAGTGTTTTATATTTGTGAAATTTGCCAACTGGGTGAAAAAGGCAGACAGAGAGTTCATGTAAATACTATAAGCTGGTTGTAGAAAAGCAACAACAAGAAAAAGACTGAATAAGGAATCTCCAACAATCTCTTAAAGTCCAATAGTACCTTGATGATGGTGTGATGAAGTGACCTAAAATGATTCTGGCATTTACAAACATTGCAGATGATCGAGGTGTGAGTTCACAGTCTGATAGAAGTGAAGTAACAACATTGAAAAAGTAAAAGGCTGCAGAGAATGAAGGCAGGTTTGTTACAGCAGTCTTATGGAGAAATCCGATCTGATTCAGGTTCATTTATGGGAGGCTCAAGATCTAAACATCAGAGAAGATCTGTACTAATCTTCAGAATTTAAAAAAAATAATAATAATCAACAAACTGATGAGTCAAGTTTTAGTTCGAGTGAGCTGAGACCTGATACAGTGTGTCAAAGTTACACTTTTCTAGTCTTCTGACTACTCAAAGTGCTTTCACACCTACACATTCACACACTGATGGTAGTGGTCGCTATGTAGTATCATCCATCAGAAGTAACTAATCCCATTCATACAGAGCAATTCAAGTGTCTTGCCCAAGTACACATCCCCAGTTGACCAGCTGGGGATCGAACCCTTGACCTTCTGGTTGAGAGGCGACGAATAATAGAGGTGTTACAGATATGGTATCAGACGAGCCAGCGAGGGTGCACAGTGCTGTGTGTGTGTGTGTGTGTGTGTGTGTGTGTGTGTGAATGTGTGCGTGTATGTGCCAAAACACAATGTGAATTCACAGACTGGCACACCAATTTTACAACGTAGTGGATCAATATATGAATGGACAAAGACGTGATGACGGCTGAGCTTAATTTACAGCACGGCCTACAGACTCTTACATCCCTGTGCAACCTGTCTCTGTCCTTTAATCCATCTTGACTCTCATGATGACCCAGTCCGTCTTGTGTTGTGCGGAATGTTTATGTCAGAAAATAATAATTTAAAAAAAAGGGGGGGAAAAAAAAGAGCAGAGTTTTAAAAGTTTTGGGTCTTGATATGTCTCTTGGCAGCTTCAGGTTCATATGTGTTTTGTGCTGCTCTGTCCGAGGGTGACCCAACGCGGAGCCTTTTGTGGTGCGTGGCCACATATTTAGGGTCCCTCTCGAGTCTCTCCTGGAGCACGGCGCACAGTTCTGACAGCTCTCTGCTCCTGAACGACGGAGGCCTCACAATCCAGCCAACTTCCCCATCGGCCATGCCATCCTCTTCGTCGGACATCATGTCTATTGTAACACCACTCCAGGCGTCCGTTTCATCTTCGGCCAACACCGCCCTCCTCGCTTCCAGCAGCTGAAAGCACAAGTACTACAATGAGTGCTGCTCTGTGGTGGTAACACAATAACGACAATACATATTTCCCGCATTGATCACTCAAATGTGTACAATAAGCACAAGTATTGAAAAGAAAAGAAAAACAACTGAACTGGTTCAGCATATTATTCTCTCATATAGCCTTTGCATATTAAACCCTGTCCCCCATAGCCCAGAGAAAGCGTTTTCCAGCAGTGTCATCTCCTCCAGCACAGACACCTGCACCTCCCGTTTTTGTCCCTCGTTTAATTGAACAATGTGATGGAAGCACGGGGTTACGATATCCTGCTTCGTTTAGCGCTCACATGTTCCTCCTTTTCTTCACTATACCTCTGCTCCAGATCAGACATGATTTGTTTCTTTATCTCCTTCACAGCAGGTGGTTTGACTTCCTGTCCCACTCGATCTGCTCTGTGGTAAATTGAAGCATCGTGCTCTGGAAGCCGTCAAAAATAGAAGCCTTGCATATCTGCTGCAGGGGGCTCCGGACTGCTGGAGCTGGGACAGAGCAGAGACGCAGCGAAGTGGAGCCAGTGGAAGAATTGGAATTGACATAGTTATCCTATTCTTATAGATCTTACCCTCTTCCTTCTCTGTCGGCTCCGGGCTGCACTCTTTATGGCCGCTGCCTGGGCCGCGAGGTTGGGCTGGTTGTATCTAAAGTTCCTCCGGACAGTCTCATAATATGTCTTACAGGCAGCTGGGGGAAAAAAAATAATGAGTCAGACCACAGGAAAGTAAACAACAAGAATAAAAAACAGAAATTATTTGATGAGGTTACTTACATGAAGAGACTCCAGTGTCCACAGCCTTCATGTCCGGTCTTGAGGCCAGAACTGCCACCAAATGTGAAGTGACTGCCTCGTTGTAGGGCGAGCTCAGTCTGTCAAGACAAAGTGTCAAGTATGTTAGTTCAGAGAACTAAGACATTCACTTACAGTAGGCTGAATAGATCTTGCTTAGTTTTTGGTAAACAGATTTGAGCTTATTTAGTATTTTTCTCGTCTTCTGACTTCTCAAAGTGCTTTAACCCCGCGTGCCCCCCCCCCTACCCATTCACACACTGATGACTGCTATGTAAAGTGTCCATCAGTGTTATTAACTAACTCCATTCAAATGCCGCCTATGAAGCAGCGGGATCATTTTGGGTTTAAGTGTCTTGTCGAAGGACACATTGACATGTGGCTGCAGGAGCTGGGGATCGAACCCCTAACCTTCTGTTTGAGATACGACTGACTGCCAGTGAGCCACAGCCGCCTTTTTAAATCTTACCCTTGAGCCGGGTCATAGCGCCTGGTGTTTTCTTCACAGTTGTGAAGACGCCTCACAGTTTCCTATAATGTATGAGAACAAAATGAAAGTCACTTTGGTGGAGAAATGTTCGGGCTTAAGCAGCAGGACCGGGCATTAACCATTCATTTGCTAGATTATTATTATTAGTGTGTGTTTAACATTGATGTTATGTGTGTTTGTGCCTTTGAGTGTGTACATGTATTGATTTTTTTTGGATGGGTTTTGTTGTGTTTCCTCCTCTAGATTGTGCAGGTTGTCACTGTGTGGGCTCTGTGCAGCAACACATGTGAATGGTATCTAGCCTGGAGAATACATTAACCACACACACACACACACACACACACACACACACACACACACACACACACACACACACACACACACACACACACACACACACACACACACACACACACACACACACACACACACACACACACACACACACACACACACACACACACACACACACACACACACACACACACACACACACAGTAAGTTAGTGGCCTACTTACTGCAATCTTTGGATTTTGAGCCCGTCTTTTTCTCTTCCCCTTGGAGCAGCCACAGCTTGGTCCTCCGGATTCAGAAGCTCCTTCCTCCAGTGAAGTCAGTCTGGCCTTAATGTCCGCCATGTCTTCCATCAGCTGTGCTTGGTTCTGCAGTACCTCGGTCACCTGGCGAGACAACCCACTGAGGGCGACCAGCAGTCCCTCATCATCCTCTGCAGCGGGACTTGCTGGAACTTGTTCAGCATCTGGGCCAGATGTTGCTCGCAGAGGAGTGGCGACGTGGGGACGCCGGGCGGTCATCGTAGATCAACATTCAAAAACCGCGGGGCACAATGAAGATGTCTTTTTCTTCTTCTTGGCATACAAAAAAAAAATGTTATTACCGACCACTTCTTCGTCTTCCTCTTATTTGAGGCTTTAAGGCGATTGGAAAACAACGAGTTGGTGCATTTCCGCCACCTACTGGTGGGGAGTGTAGATCAGGATATCTAATGGAGTGACCCCACTTTCACTTTACAAAAGTCCCCCAGACATCCAAAACACATTTCAGTCATGTGATCGTTTTTTTTTCTTTTGTGCTGCATGTAAACATTTATTTTAGACCACATTCAGGCTGTTTCATGTATATTATTGCGGCTGGGGCAGGGTTTTATTATTGTATGATGAAGTGTACATTGTGTACAGTCAGGTGAGCGTATATTCACCTGCTGGAAATGAATGCTAGACGCATGATGCATGGATGAGAGACAGACGAGATACTGCAAGTTTGGTCGTTTTTAACATGGGCTACATAATGAACTGGATAATATATTGTAGCTTAACTAAGGCAGAATGCTCTGTTATAATTTTATTTTTGATCAATAATTAGACATTTCAAGGGACTGCATTTGAATTCCATGCGGTCAGGACTACTTTTCTGTGAATAAATATTTAAATAAAATTAAATAATAAAACAAATAATATCTTCTCAACCAACTTAGTTTGTCTGCAATACTGATATAAAACCCTATAGCCCATTACTGCCAACATGAGTCTCCTATTTGATCAAGACATGTCCTTTAACTCTCACATAAAACACTTTTCAAGAACAGCCTATTTTCACCTTTGTTGGATGATTGTAATTCTCTTTTATTAGGGTGCTCTGATAAATCTCTAAAGACTCTTAGATAGATAGATGATAGATAGATAGATAGATAGATAGATAGATGATAGATAGATAGATAGATAGATAGATAGATGATAGATAGATAGATAGATGATAGATAGATAGATAGATGATAGATAGATAGACAGATAGATGATAGATAGATAGATAGATAAATGATAGATGATAGATAGATAGATAGATAGATAGATGATAGATGATAGATAGATGATAGATAGATAGATAGATAGATAGATAGATAGATAGATAGATAGATGATAGATGGATGATAGATAGATAGATAGATAGATAGATAGATAGATAGATAGATAGATAGATAGATAGATGATAGATGATAGATAGATGATAGATAGATAGATAGATAAATGATAGATAGATAAATGATAGATGATAGATAGATAGATAGATAGATAGATGATAGATAGATAGATAGATAGATAGATGATAGATGATAGATAGATAGATAGATAAATGATAGATGATAGATAGATAGATAGATAGATAGATAGATGATAGATAGATGATAGATAGATAGATAGATAGATAGATAGATAGATAGATAGATGATAGATAGATGATAGATAGATAGATGATAGATAGATAGATGATAGATGATAGATAGACAGATAGATAGATGATAGATAGATGATAGATAGAGATAGATAGATAGATAGATAGATAGATGATAGATAGATGATAGATAGATAGATGATAGATGATAGATAGACAGATAGATAGATGATAGATAGATGATAGATAGATAGATAGATAGATAGATAGATAGATAGATAGATAGATAGATAGATACTTTATGATCCTAATGGAAATTCAAAATTCTTCAACTAGTCCAAAACGCTGCAGCTTGTGTACTGACTAGAACTAGGAGTTGGGACAACATTACTCCTGTACTGGCTTCTCTGCATGGCTCACATATATTTCAGAGTGATCCACTAAAATATGTTTTGTTGGCCTCAAAGTCCAGTGAATCACAAGGTCTCTGTTTCCTGTTGCTCCCACTTTTTCTGCTGACCTTAGCAGGTGCCCTGGTTTTCCCTGCGCAGACACAGAGTGACACAGAGTTCTTTTGGTTTTCCTTCTCTGTCACATAAGCAGAGATTTCTTGCTCGTAGTTTGACTCTTAAATCAGAGACATGTCTGTTGACAGGGTCCACTCGGCTTTACCTGACCCTCCACTTCAGAGCGAAGAAGAGAACAGAGAGGAGGAGAAGGCTTTTGGGAATGCCTTTGCAGAGTTAGAATCTGTGGACCTGCCTCTGGGAACCACCTTAAGGTAAACTCTGCAATATACATAAATATGCAATATATATGACATACATACATCAGCAGGATTGTTGAACCATTATCTGCTGGTTCATTTAATGGCAGACTCACTTCAAGTGAATCATGTAAAATGGTTATTTATCTTATTAGCATGTAAAGATATTTCAACAAACAAGAAAACAAAAGCCTTTAATTGTGCTTTTAAAGGCAAAGGTTTCAAAGCATTTTTAGTTTGTTTCACTTTAAAAAAAAAACAACTCACATCTTATATCTAAAGAAAGCAGCTTTGTGAGTAGCTCAGCCTGAAGTTTTTCTTTCCATGCTTCATTTAACCAACCTATGGAAGCACTGTATTGAAGTGCCTGGTCTGCAGGTTTTTTGGGGCCGTTTGAAAGAAAGTTTTTCAATGTATGTGTAGATTGAGAGTTGAAAATGTGCACTAACAAGTTATGGTGCACTGCTTGATTTAATTAAATATATTTGATCATGTTTGAGATTTTAGACTAATGTTACAAGACACACAAATGCTTGTGTTCAGCGTAAGAGACAAGAGACAAAAATGTCAGAAACAATTTCAGATTTTCATGGTCTCAACTGTGTTTTTTTTGGTGGTATTAGAAATGTTATTGTAGGAGCCATTATGTGCATTTTTTGGTTTTACCTTATTTAACCTGTTGAGTTGTGCGGCTGGAGGCAGACAAAGAGGGTTTGCACATTTTCTGTTGAGCATCATCGTTTTTACCACAAACTAATCTGGACATTTTAATTTTATTTTGAAATGCACGAGTCACAGTTACAGACCCACTTAGTCTCTGTGCGGCATTCTCCAATCTAAGCCGCCACAATAGTAATAATTATAATAATAATACATTTTAACTCTGTTTGTGTATTATAAATGACAAATAAATAAAGCAACAGAAGAATATAGGACACAGTAAATAAGCCCTAACAAATATAAAAGCTTTATTACTATTATTAATTTAGCTTAAAATTACTTAAAGCCTCAACTCAAATTTACCACAAAACAAGTGTATAACTGAAGGTAAACATAGTTGCTGGGAGGCAGAAATGTAAATGTATTATCACAGAATGACTGTATGAAAACAAGCTGTTGTAGTGCGCCCTCTACCGGCCAGACCTCAGACTGACCTGCACTCTACTGTAGCTGCAGTCACACACACACACACACACACACACACACACACACACACACACACACACACACACACACACACACACACACACACACACACACACACACACACACACACACACACACACACACACACACACACACAACAATCATGGCGGAGAATGAAACCCTGGAGTGTATAACGGAGCACGAGCGGATTTTACAGGAAATAGAGAGTACCGACACGGCTTGTGTCGGTCCAACACTTCGGTAAGAATAAATGCACCATTTCAAAATGTGTATTCATAATAATGTCTTGTGTATTTTGGTCTGTATTTCCATCGTCACCGGACCTTTTGTTCACAAGCTAGCTGCGCTACCCGAGCCACCGGTGAGCTAACTGTAGCAATACGGTGTAGAAATGAAGCATGAGCCTAGCTTGTGTGGCTAGCTAACAGGCCAACATTGAACACTGTTTACGTCAATTGTAAGCAGCAGCTACTGTACAGCTGTGGGTGTGTGGGTTTTATTTGCAGACTCTGTGTGTTGATTGACGGCTGGTGACCTGTCAAATGTAACCGAAACATCATCTGTGGGTGTGGCTGTGGAATCCCACATCTTGTTATCATTACACAGCTGATGCTAGCTGATGATGCTAACTATATCGGCTAGTTGTAAAGCAACTAAAATGTGGGAAATTAGCCCCTCTGACAAATCAGTTGTGCCGCTGTTTGATGCGTCATCGTGACCCCCAGGTGTTTCCTTGTGCTTGCCAAATAGCTGTAGGGAAACAGGAAGTCCAGTTGCTCAAGCTAATCATCTCCTAGCCTTCGTTATGTCTCACAGACAAGTTAATGTGACAAGCTGCGGTAGTTCTCGTGTAGCTAACCTGCTGATTGCCTCATCTTTTCACACACACCTGTCCCCGTAGACGTGCCTGTAGGCGGTGGTTGTCTTGCAGCATACCAGGGGGAAGCAGTGAAAGTATGCCCTGAGGGTAACTTCACCTGACTCCGCAAGCCTGTTTCAGCTTTCATATTATAATAATAATAATAATAATAACTGCATTTATATAGCACCTTATAGCAAAAACATATAAAGAACGAAGTAAAAGAACCACAACAACTACAAGATACAGAGCTGCTACAACAGGCCCCTAGGTTTGTTCTTCTTCAGGAAATGTTTACACGAGACAAACCTGATCAGTCATGTCCTCCATACATGTTGATGACAGTATTCAGTCCACTGTTTTCCAACAGTTTTGTCTTAATTTGCACATTCCCATCTCATTCATGATGATCCAAATGGCAAAACCATCCAGAACCAGGATGTAGTACACAAGTTGCAAAGCCAAGTTTCTTAAAAAAAAAAAAAAAAAGGACAAGGGCCTGTAGAAGTTGCTAATACAAGGATGTTGATGATGTTTACTCACAAAACACAAAACCAGGATATGGAGGGGGAAACTAGAATACTAGTGTGCATGTTAGCAAACTCGTAGTTGTTCATTCTTCAGTCGCCACTGTTAAGGGCTGTGCAATCAATAACATATTTACTGACACGCCTTGTTTCACAAAGTCAGTACTCTGGCATGTTGGAGCTGCAACATTTAACCCTGAATACCAACCAAGATGATGTTGTGATAAGAATTGTAATGCTATATTTAAATTCAATTAATTCAAACCATCGACTGGACAGGACTGTTTTAATTTGTGTGACGATTCTCCAATCTGTCTGTCACTGTTCTCATTCTTATGCAGCACAGTAATGAGGTTCATTACAAGTTGGATATCCATCAGGCAGGAGTTAGCATCTTTTTATTATTCAACCAGAGCTGGCTTTACTCGCTCATGTTGCAGCATCCTCTATGGGGGATGTTTTTTTTTTTCATAGTCCTGTTTTTCTTCTTTCCCTGGCATCCATGCAGAATCGAACAATTATCACACTGCAAGAGAAATGTCCGCACCTCTAAACATCGCACTTCACAGTCAAATAAAACACAGCTGGGTCATTATTTCATTGAAGCTTTGCATCAACATTCGGTAGCAGTATTTCACACCATGATGTCAATTTATCCATGTTTAACGTAGAACTGTGAGGAATCCATACAAATCACCGATCAACTCGTTTCATCTCTACCCATAGGCTGGCTCAGCCTCCCGCCCTGGTAGGAAACAAGAAGATAGTGACCTATTTGTTTCAGCACTACCACCTGGTCTCAATTATTAATAACAGGAAAGGGAAGCCTCACACAGTGCCATGGAGGCTGATCTTTACTGTGCTGCATGGATGTGCACATGTCCGGTTTGCATGTGCTAAGCTGTTGATTTCAACAAGCCTTGTTCTTATGTTCACAGCTCTCCAAACATTGTAAGATTTTTTTATCAACTCTTGAAATATTTTTACATTCAATAGATTAAATGAAATTTGACAAGAAAGACACATCAATTTTTTTTTTTTTTTGTCTGTTCAATATGTTGGAAGTTGGTTCTGGTGCCCTTTGCACACACTGAAGGTCTCTGAATACAACAGAGTAAGCAACACTCAGTTCAGCAACACTTAGGTCACTCCTGCCCCTCTTAAGGCCTTGACACATCAAGGAGACCATCGGCCGTCGGTCCTAGTTGGACCGTCGGTGAGCGGTCGTCGTCCTAGTTTTTGCAGTGTGTCCGGCTCCGTCGCTACCCGTAGGCCTCCGTCTGCCGTTTTTTTTTGGACTTCATGGCCACTAGTTCTGCTGTCTGCTTGGTGTGTCAGGGCCTTTAGACAAACAAGCATTTGTTTACAAGCAGATGAAAAAAAAGTGTGAAAAAGACAACTACATTGCAAGAAGCTGAACAACCATGTCGACAGACAAGGTACGGATAAATTACTGGATTTTGTGCAAACATGAGTCTGCAAGTGTTTTCAGACTGTTATTTGCATGTTGAGTATTCAACTGTTACCATGATATCTCTGGGCTGTGGCTAAATGGCTATATTGGAGAGAAATAGAAAACTTTATGTGTAAGATGGATTTTTTTCTTTGATTGTGTGCAAAGCTGAGACATAACTTGGGTTCAATGACTTTCCGGTGACTGGTAAACATGAGACGACAATGACACTTGTAGTGTTTTGTCACAATCTGTTATGAACAATATCTGCAGGGACATTCTGCTTCCTGCTCGGTCACTCTCTCTTTTTCTCTTCCTCTTTACCTCAGCCATTGTATCAAACTGAACAGAAAGGCTAACTGCCTTCTTTTTATAACTGAAGGTTTGTTAGTGAGCTCGTGCTGTGAAGGTGTGTGTACTTCTCGTGAGATGACCTGAAGTTACATTTGCAGTCAACAGGCGATCAGAGCGCGCTGTGGACAAGGGAGAGACGCCATTCTCCCTGCTGAAAGTTATTGTGCTATTAAATTGACCTTTGTTCTACTGCTATTATTTAATGGTGGACAAGTCACATATTGTTGCTTTAAAGCTCCTGTGAGGAATCTACGGTTGGTGTTGATTCTGGCGCCCCCTGTGGACCCTGTGATTTTATCCTTTACATTTGTTAATGTGCTCTTTGACAAGAAAATCGTATCCAGCTGTCGTTTAACTATCAAACTTCTGACTCATCAAGAATCTTCACTGTAAATAAAGTCTATTTCAGCAGCGTGCAGTTCATCTCCTCATCCGACATCTACCGCAGCTGCAGTTTCACTCATTAAAATTAACTATAGAGAAATAAACATTCATAAACACATTTTTAAAAATCTTGTCGCTGATGGTCTTGTTTGCTTTCGTATGTCATGAAGGGGCATGGCCTCAAAGTCACTTAAAAGGTTAACAGAATGAAAGGAAGCTCTTTACCTTAAAGCTCATTTACATGTTTTATTTATTTTTTATTTTATTTTTG